AGATCAATTAGATGGCTTGCTTTGAAGGACAGCTCTGAAGGACAGGAATTTGCACGTGCTATGCCAGAGAAGAAGAATGTTTTAGTTTCTGCCACACAATGGCATATGAGTTTAAAAATTCCTTATATTGAAGGTGAGCTGGTTCATCACCAGACCTCTATCACCAAAGCTTTTGCCTTTCTTCCTGGTTACTGCTAGCCCCATATATATATATTATCATTCAGGAGATTTCCAGCTAAAGGCATCTGAGTACCCTACATACAAATGCAAAAGATTATTGCTTGGACTCAGCACTGTAACAGAAATTCAAATTTTGGTTAAAAGTGTCACAGACAGAGAACTTTCTTGGAAGCAACTCACCCTTCTACCCCTTAAATTTTATTTTGAGGGGATGTTTCTTAGCATGTGTTTATTTTAGGTATTATGGGTCAAATTCAGTCATCAGGTAACTGGATACAACTCTGTTGAAGTAAATAGGTCTGATTCTGATGTAAGTTGTACCGGTATAATCGAGCAAAAGCACCAAAGTTAAATGGAGTTACACAAGGATAAAACTAGATCAGAATGAGCCCCAGAGGAGTTAGCGGTGTCTTTAGAAGAAGAATATCCTGCTCCCAAATAAAAACGCTTGTTCTTATTAACATTACTGTCCATAATCACATACTGATTCTATACTGCTATTGGAAATTTCATTTGCAACAAGTTTTTTATGTGTTATCAGTTAGCAATATTTTATAAAAACGCAGGACACTTTTTTTATTCTTCACAGAGTGGGGATCTCTTATTTTGTACCTTTGGAAAACAGAAAATTACTGAGTTATAACAGATCAGCACTCATCTATCCTGTCAATTTTGCCTTCAAAATTGGGGAAAGCTTTGGTTTTCGATTCTTGTTTTACTGTATATTTTGTTCATTTTGCATGGTGGTGGCAGTTACTGGCTGTTGAAGTGCACAATAAATTGATATAGGCTCATTGGTCTGAGAAGATATCCGAGTTGAAACACTGAGCTATAAACATTGCAAAATGTCCATGTGCTATGAGACCCATGATGGTGGTCAGTTAAAATTACTGGTATTTACCATAAAAGGACAAGAATGACAGGTACATCATTTTCTCTTTATCTCTGCTAAATAGTGCTATATGGAAGGCTTATTTATTGGCCTATTTCAGCAAACTATGAGATGCATTCTTCTTTCTAAGCATGCGTGTACAATCATTCCTGTTTATTCTAGTGGAAGTTACCTCCACCCTATGAAGAAAACAGCATACCTCTGTAAAGTTTAGAAATGATCTATCTGAAATAGCTATATACTTGCATAGACACCAACTATACAATACTATATACTTGTATAGACACCGACATCATTGTGTGTAAGCACCAGAGTAGTATCTGAGCATGTTGTTTCAGATATTTTTGGTGTCTCTGGTTATTTCTTCATCCACCAAGCATTCTAGTAGACCATTTCTAGGAAATGGTCATGGCTTCTTATATGAAAATCAGCTTCCTGGTTTTACGCCTTTATAAATCGAGTGGGAGGTGGCGGGGGAGTGGGGGGAGAGGGAGTTGTGCAAACTCTCAACCCATCCTGAAACTCCCCAGCATTCAGGGTAGAACATTGCTACGTCCAACAGGGAAAACACAAGCTTCCTTTCACAGCTGGCCAGTTCATAGTGGGGGGAACATGACCCCCTCTTTTGCTGGGCCTTCCCTGTCTCCCTTTTGGGGTGGTTAGCTCCATTAATAATCATAGCCCCATGCAATCAAGTGAATGCAATCACTGCCATTGCGAGCAGCTCCTGCATAGAGGAAAAGGAGAGGTTAAAGGGGGAAATGCTCCTCTCACCCCTACTGCCCCTTCAGAAGCTAATCACTGGCTGGCTGTCAGATTCGTGCACTTACTGACTGTAGAGTTGCAGTACAATAAGTATTTTAATAGTGATGGGCAAATCATATAAGGTTTGTGGAAGTTCATTGATTCCCAGCATGTCAGATAATTTTTAAAACAAGAATTTTATACTTCAGAGATTGTAACAGCTCCAGATGGTCATTCTGCTTTCTTGTAAACCAGTTTAAATGGATTTTACAAGTGGGTTTTTGGCACAATAATATTCTCTTTATGTGTATTCAGTATGGTCCATGGTCAATTATGTCATTTTAAATGACACAATAAAGACTTCTTCAAATGATATGTTGTAATCAACCACAATATGTAGCTTCAGTTGTATTGTAGATGTTACTACTGTATTTCCTTATATATACTTAGGGAGTAAGGGAATATCAAGGAAGGACCCCAGTGAGACATTCCAGCTAATCTAACAGGAAAAGATTATGGGAAATATGATTCTATCATGCCTTCTTCATCCTCTTCTGTATCCCCCCACTTGGTCCTGCAGGTTCATTATTGTTTCCCTTCAATGTCTACATTTCAGTGTGGGCCAGGACGATGAAGCTGTATGATGAATCCCCGGGAAACTGGCAAACCAGTTAAGTGACCAACTACAAAGTGAAAGGCCTGAACCCAGATTAATAAGAAGCAAAAAATATCTGTGCATCACTCTATTCTCTACAGCCTGGCCAAGATGCTTGAATCATCCCTCTATAACACTGACCACACAATGATCATCTTTAGTGTTGTCACCTTCAGACAAGACTACGGTGGTTCACCCTAATTAGTTGTCATGGCTTTCCTTGAAATCTCCCCAGAAACACCATATAGTGTAGAATGAATGCCTACCGACTGAGGCCCTGTGAGTGGAGATCACCTACACTGAAACCATTGCCCTAACTTCATGTTCGTTTCCTGATACAATTTAAGGAGTAGGCTGTAATCTTTAAATCCTTGAATTGTGTACTTCTCATCCTGCATCACGTTACAACAATTCAGATCAGTTGGCAAGCTCTTGCTATTGGTTTCTGAAGTTTAAAACTCCAGGATCAGTGTCAGGGGTTTAGCCAGAGGCCCTCATCTGTGGAGCTTGGTCTCTTAGGGAGTCTGCTAAAGCCTGAACATGCACAACTTCAAAGCACAATTAGAGGCCCTCCTTTTTTTTTTTTTTTTTTTTTTTTTTGAGCTCTTGTCTGGTTTTGGGGGAAGGGTGTGAAGGGTATTTTGTTTGATTTTATATTCTGTTTGAGGATATTCCTGACAAAAGGAAAATGAATGTTAATTCAGTTTAATGTGTTCTTATGTACTGTAATTTATATTTTAAAAATATCTACTGTACATAAATACTTAACTGCTAATTTTAAAGAACACCTACTATTACTTTGTCGCTATTACTAGGTTTTTTTGGGGGGGGGGGGGAATTGAATGTGGCTTTGGTACACTAACCATTTTCCAAATGGTGTTATGAACTCGGTAAATACTGAAAGGCCTAATGTCCAGTAGAAACTAATCCTGAATTAGAGATGTTGAAAAAATGAAGGTTTTCTTGTACTCTGCAAAAATCCACCCAGAGAAACTTTTCTACATGATGGACAGCTTGGAGAAAAAGACTGATTTTTTTTTCTCACTGTGGGGAGTTTTCTTTGAGATAAATAGTGATGCCAAATGTGATGCCATCAGAGAAGACAAAAGGGGATGCTCTTTGGCTGAGGAACGCATCTAAGAGTACATGGTGACATGTCTGCTTCCGTGACTGGGGAATGAAGCAATCCCAAACCTATGTCTACAAAACCTTCCCCCAACCCCATTACTCCAGTGTGTATTGTCACATTATATATATAATATATATATATATATATATATATATGAAATAACTGTTTTTTCTGTAGTGAGTACAGTGTTGAGAGAGAGTGGGGAAGGGAGTTCTCAGGGGTTTACTCATCAATGTCTAGAAGTGTACCCAGAAGAGAATAAGGAGATTTATACAAAGTGCTCGCGGGCAGTAGCTCAGTAACTCCAATTGCTTGCAAGTGGTGGATGTTAACATTTATTATTGACCACGAAAAATGATGCTATACTTGAATACCGTTCAGATGCTGCATTTGAATAAAGTAGCCCGTTTGCCTAATGAGTTGACTGTAGTATGCCAATGCATCTATGACTTCCTGTTCACTTCTGGTGGCAATTCATGATGTTTGAAACCCTGTAGGATTTGAATTTGGAGAAGCTGCCTCTTTTTGCTCTGTTCATTTCCTCACGTTCATGGCAGTTGGTTAGCCAACTCAATGAAATCCAGTGATAGTTAGAATGTTTGGAGGCTAGAGGCGGGCTGTACACAGAGGAAGGACCTCAACTCTAGAATTCACTTCTCATGTTAGTTCCCAAGAGGCCAAGTCTTGTTGACTTCCAGGATACAGTGATAGCCCTATCTTTTCTTTAGGATTTGCCTGAGGGGATGAGGTCAGGCAATGCTTATGTTAATCTATAGCTAAGCTAAATTTCTGGATGGAGTCTACTTTTACTTAACATTGTATAAAGTTGCATTGTTTTTTTAAAGAAATGCACATGCTGCCAGAGATTGTTGTGATGGACAAGTGTTTAGAAAAAGGACAAATAAATATATGTACAAACAAATACATTGAAACCTGTGTTTAGTCTGTGCAAGCATAAAATGGTGTACAAAATCTCATAAAAATGTTATATTTAATTTAGATTGTTTGCATCCTGTTTAAATTAAAAAATAGTCAAATACCTTTTTATTCACATATTCTGAAATAACAATACATTCCTGGGCAGGGATTTTGTGTGCTATGTTTCAACAACAAGTACATGTTTGAAACCCTTGAAAATAGTAGTTTACGATAATGGAAATGCTGACAAAACCTTAAATATAGTGGTGTTCCTGGATGCCATCACAACAATGCCTAAAGCGTATTCTAGTTGGGATTCTGTTCACTTGATTGTGGTAACTGGGATTGCAGGAGTTTAACAGTGTTTGACTAAATTGGATATCAAACCTATATTTGTATGTTACAATATTGTAAGATGAGTTATTAGAATATCTGTATTTGGGTATTATCAACAGAATAATTTTGCATTCTGTTTCTTCTAGGAGGGGAAGTCGCTAAGCCCAGATTTGCTCAGTATTTCCATGGCAGCCTTGCCAGTCTCACTATCCGTCCAGGCAAAATTGAAAGTCAGAAAGTGATTTCCTGTTTGCAGGCCTGCAAGGAAGGTCTGGATATTAATTCTCTTGAGAGTCTTGGCCAAGGAATAAAGGTGAGGGATGAACTGACATCATCTTTGATAAAATTTAGACCTGATTTATGAAGTGGAGAGCCAGAGGTAAAGTACACACAGTACAAATATACTCCTAGAAGCAATATAATTTCCCATAAAGTCATGCAAAGAAAAAGCATAAAGGAGAGGAGCTGTGATAATGCAAAGAAAAATATTTCCATTATTTCAACAATATACACTTAGAAAGTAAGGTGCCGCAGCTATTTCACAGTCCCTAAGGATTTCCAGGTCATGTTGTAAAAGCCCTGTTTTGGTACTCTTTACAAAAAGAAAAGGAGTACTTGTGGCACCTTAGAGACTAACAAATTTATTTGAGCATAAGCTTCTGTGAGCCACAGCTCACTTCGCTGTAGCTCACAAAAGCTTATGCTCAAATAAATTTGTTAGTCTCTAAGGTGCCACAAGTACTCCTTTTCTTTTTGTGAATACAGACTAACATGGCTGCTACTCTGAAACCTTTACAAAAATAGGCATGCTTCTACAGACTGCTGTATTTTATTGAATTTTGATCTGAAATAGCCTTAAAGTAACAGGAAACATAAGTGAAATATCATTTCATCTGGTGGCAGCTCTGCAAACTGGGTTGTGTGTTAGATTTAACATATATTTCACAAGGCAAACTACATTAATGGGACATTAAGATGGGACTATTAAGTATGCAAAAGTCAGGAAATGCAAAGATTAAATTTGCATGTGCAACTTTAACTGTGTTTGTATATATCCATTATCTTATGGTCTTTAATGACATAATCACGTTATAAAGTAATACAATATAGGGCAAACTCCTGGCCCCATAGAAGTCAATGGCCAAATTGCTAGGACTTCAGTGGGGCCAAGACTTCACTCATAGTTTTCTCTACTTTCTTGGATATGCATACGTAGCCTCTTGAATGTAATTTTCACCCTTTTATGCTGACACAAATTTGTCAGAATATTCCAGAACAGCTCTAGTTACTAAGAGACTTGTTAGGTAACAAATACTCCTCTCTAAACTGCATATTTTAACAAATTTGTCAGTTCCCAAGTATTATACATTTTCTTTTTAATCAGCAGCACAATCTTGCTTTGGCATATTTTGGGGAGTCAGCCAGTTCACTAATATTGAGTTATTTTAGCAGTATAGATAATCACAGTACAACCTTCCTTTGGAACAGAACAGAGAATTAAACAATTAACTAGGGAGGTAATTTAACTGCAAATTTATGTGGCCTCCACCTGGCAACAAATTGTCATTGTTACTCTGTGTTGTTATATTTTAATCTAGAGAATGTTGTGAAGGTACTGTTTATGTGTATTTTTCAGGGAAATTATTTGAGTGGGTTTTGACATATGCCAAATGTGGCATATACTAAGTAATACACAGAGCTGCAAGAAGATACACATGTGAATCTAGACAAGAGGTTATGTTGTACTCTTGATTTATGGTATCTGCAGACAAGAGGGCAAAATTTAAGTTGCATGTGCAAGCTTAGGACCAGATTCTTCAACCTTTACTTGTGAAAATAGGTAATACTCAACATGAGTAACAGCTGCAGGAGTTAGCTTTATGTGGTAAAGATAAGATTGTTTCACTGTCTTTAAACTTGAGTTTGATTAAAGTTTTTGGACAAATAATTTATTCGCTGAAAAATGAAGTTTCAGGTTGGCTGAAGCTATTAACAAATTTGATATAAATTTGCTGATTAGTTTCCAACAAAACACATTTTTTTGGAAGGGGACCCTAGATTGACAAGGGAATTTAGATGCCAATCACAAAAGTACCAGAGGAGGAGGTAGTCGTAGCCCCTTATACTCAGTAACCTTGAAAGCTGGCCTCCCATTTCCTAGGTGAGTGCCCCTAACCACTAGGCTACTGGCTATTCTGGGGTGGCACTCTCTGTCTTTCCTGTTGCATACATAATTACGTAGGCATAGAATCAGGGACTTGAGTTTGGGTCTCCCACATTCCAGATGAGTGTCCTCATTCTCACTTTCTTTGGACCAAAAACTATTCAAGCATTTTATATAAAGTGGAACACCCCTACTTCCACCACTACCACCACTTCCTCCAGTAGTTTTTTAAAATCTAGCCCTTCATTTTCCTTTGCTTTTATTAAAAATACCCAGAAATGAAATATTTTGTTTCATTTAACCCAAAATGAAATTTGTCAACTTTTCTGATTAGCTGAAAATACTGAAAAAAATCGGTTTCAGTTTCGGACAAACGAATGTTTTTTGTGGAACTTCCGGAGACCTAAAAAAACCCCAGTTATTCACCTTGTTCTACTTTAACCCTCGTGTCAGTATTGAGTGGCTCTATTTCACCACCTCATTCTTTCCTGGGTAAAACCTATTGCATGAAACCTTCTTTTTTTGTGGTACTACCTTTATATACTGAACAAAGAGCCCCAAAAGTACTCTATTTTCATGTTTTATTTATTATAGTGAGAACGTAAATGATTTCATAGGACTTCCACCCCAGCAATTCAGTAAATTTTGATGGCATGCTTCTTAGCAATGTCCTTTACAAATTAAGATTATGAATGTAACATAAGGCTGTTTACTAGAAAATCCTGTTTCCTCACAAATATATACCAATACATGTATGTTGGAATTTGTATGTCATAAGTCAGCTTATACTTGGCTCATGCTTATTAAAAACATACCTAGTCGTTGCACCCCTGTTGTCATTTTGAAATTGACATTATTATAGTAGCCTGTGGTTTCAGGTGTGGGTGGAAAAACCTCTCTTCAGTTTTGCCTCCCACTGCTGCTCCCGCACGGATGAATGGTTCTCTCTATGAACCAGCAGTGGGTGGAAGAAAAATGAAGTCCAGGGAATTTTTTTTCCTTCCCACACTGAACTTCAAAACGTTTTCAATTTCAGAATTACAACAGTGGCATGGTGTTTCTTTAAAGGTGCTTCTTTCATTTTTACCTCCCCAACCAGTCTGACAGTCCGAGTTGACAGCAGGAGGCAAAAATGGAAAAAAGCAGTCGGAGAGACACCAGGCAGAGTTTTCTGGTTGTGCCAAGAGGGAGAGGAACAGATAGAAGAGGCACAGTTGGTGCCTGACCTTGGGTTGAAAATTAATAGAGGAAGATAGTGTCCATTGTCCCAAAATAAACACACCTGGTGACATCAGATATTGTATGTGACTGCCATGGATATGTACAATATGGATATTTGAATGGTACCACCGCCGGAAGGAAAATGACTAGCGAATGTTAAAAGTTAGTAGGATTGTCAGTTGGTCCCTTTGATCTCTTTATATTTATCTAGAAAAGAACAGTTTAATACTGTCACAAGATTTCTTATGTTGCAATTTTTATCTTATGCTTCTTCCATGGTCTAATTTTCAGATATACACAACAAATCTTGCAGACACTGTCTATGCTATTTTTAACTTATCTCTCCCCTCTCCACACCCTCCAAGAGCAAGATGTAAACAGCCTAGGGCTTGTCTACACTACAAAGTTAAGTCGACTTAAGTTATATCAATGTAATTAAACCACTGTTGCATGTCAACACTACCGTCTTGTGTTGGTGGAGTGCATCCACAGTAGCAGCTCTTGCATTGACTCAGAGAGCAATGCACCTTGGGTAGCTATCCCACTGTGCAACTCACCACAATCTACCACAGGGTGTTTTGGGAAGGGTTTGTAATGCCTCATGGGGGCAGGTTCAGCATCTCCTGATTAGGTTTACTCCATTCCATCGGCATTCTAGTATGTTTTGTGCCACTTTTCAACAGCTGTGGTAACCTGAGTGCCCACCATCTCTGTTAGAAAACATGGATCCTGCACTGCTCTTCAGTATTGTGCTGAGCAGCACAAACACAACATGCCTGATCCAGCAGTATTTACTGAACTGTGAGTTTGATGATGGTGCCTTGGTTTCTGCCTTGCTATGCACCAGGAAAATAAACAATTCAAGATCGCTGTTGCCATTCACAGAGCAGCTGCACATGGTGGACCGTCTGTTCTGGGCCTGAGAAACAAGTGGTGGGATTGCATCGTTATGCAGGTATGGGATGAAAAGCAGTGGCTGCAGAACTTTTGGATGTGCAAGGCCACCTTCCTGGAACTGTGTGCGGCGCTCGCCCCAACCCTCTGGTGCAGCGACACCAAAATGGGAGCTGAACTCACAGTGGAGAAGTGAGTGGCGATTGTTTTGTGGAAGTTTGCAATGTCAGACTGCTACAGGTCAGTGGGGAATCAGTTTGGTGTTGGGAAATCCACCATTTGTGGATGCAAGTATGTAGGGCCATTAATCATGTCCTGCTACAAAGGACTGTGACTCAGGGCAATGTACAGGAAATAGTGGATGGTTTTGCAGAAATGGAGTTGCTGAACTGCAGTGGGGCAATCAATGGCACGCACATCCCTATTTTGACACCAGACCACCTTGCGACGGAATACATCAACAGAAAGGGCTACTTTTCTACAGTATTGCAAGTGCTGGTGGATCACCGGGTTTGTTTCACTGACATAATATGAACTGGTCAGGGAAAGTGCATGAAGCATGCATCTTTAAGAACACAGGCCTGTACAGAAAGCTGCAAGCTGTCCTACTCCAGGGGAAGACAGAAGGCAGCCCTCCCAAGAAATCTTTGGCAAAGGATTGCAGACTACCTCCAGGAAAGTTTCCTAAAGACCTCTATGGAGGATTCATGGGACATCCAGTGCACATAGACAAACTGTTCGGCAGGGCCACCTCTGCCCAGCTGTACAGGGGAATGAGAAGCAAATAGTGACTCTACCTCTACTGGTTATTTCACAGATGTGGCCCTGCAATATTGAAGCAAACTGAGTACTTACCCGAGGTTCCTTCCCTTGCATCAGGCTCTCCAGTGCTGGACTGCTGGGAGTGGCTTAACTGCTCAGGAGTCAAAATGAGATCTTGGCTTGCCACTCCACCAGATGCCCGTATTGCCCGTCCTCCATCCTCCTCCTCCTCCTCCTCCTTGTCCAGCACCTCATCTTCAGGGTTCACTCTGGTGACCTGTGACTCCAGGTCCTCCCAAAGTATCTACTGGCACTTCGTCGTGGAGGTGGGGTAGGCACCAAGGATGGCATGCAGCTACCTGTAGAATTGGCATGTCTGCAGCTCCACACCAAGCAACTATTTGCCTCTTTTGCCTTCTGGTATGCCCGGTGCAAGTCCTTGATTTTTACATGGCACTGCTGCGTATCCCTATTGTAGCCCTTCTCCTCCATGCCCCGAGCGATCTGGCCATAGATGTCAATGTTCCTATGGCTGGATCAGAGCTATGCCTGCACCCAGGAGATCCAGCACCTGCAGTGCTGCATGGAGCCAGCATGGTCAGCTGGGCAGTTATATTCGCTTTCCACACCAAGTAAATAGAAAGAGCAATTTCAAAAATTCCCCGGGCCTTAAAAGGGGAGGGGCGTGCACCCGTGTATCTGGCCACAGGGCAGCAGAGTTCAAATGGTGACTAGAGCAATCATGGTAGGGCATTGTGGGACACCTCATGGTGGCCACTTAGGTTAACGCATATTTATTAGATTGGCATAGCGGGCGGGAGTTAAAGTGGCGGGAGGAATATTGTAGTGTAAGCAACTCCATAGTCAACGCTGCCTTATGTTGACCTAACTCTGTAGTGTAGACTAGGGCTAGGATTTTCTTCCACTCCCTTTGGCGGCATTCCAGAACTCTTGCACCTGAGACATTAAGTTAACTAGCTAGCTTGAGTCACCCCTTGCTAATGTCATTCTTTGCTGTTGCTAGTCTACAGGTAAAAAGAGTGATATGCATGATCATGTGTAGTCTTAGTACATTCTTCTGCAGAAAATCTCTTAAATTTTTCATGATGTGTATTCACAAGGCTTGAACCTACGTCTCCCTGTCCTACTCAGCTCGAAGCTTGCCCTGCCTCTCTCATGCGCACATTCTATTTAATCTTCATCTTTTAAACCTTTTTCTTTTAAAATGTAGACGTTTGTGTGACATGAACTATAAAATATGTTCCCATAATCAACAGTCAGCCTCAGGAAATGACTGCATGGAATGAAAGTGCGTTTGGTATTAGTTTCCTTACATTTTATGGAGCCTAAGTGGGAGGATGTAAACTCAGAAGGTTGATCTGGTTTTCTGTGCAGCACAGATGGCTCACTGACCTGATTAACAGACATCTTTCAGAAGGAAATTAACAACAAACTCTCACTCTCTCACACACCTACACCAAACTAACAAAGGTAGAAAACAAACTTATTTGTCTGTAAATGAAGCTCAGAATTAGGGCTTGTCTACATAGTGGGGTGTGATTTCCACAGTGCACTGATGTGTAACACATTAATTGGTCCGTGTAGACCCTGCTGCTGCACATAACAGGTTGTCTAGTGTGCTTTACCATCGTGCTGTTTCACACAGCATGACATTAAAGCGCAGTCAGGAAGATTTAGTGCACGTGAGTGGGAGCTACATGTGTAATGCATTAGTGTGCTTTAGAAATCACACCCCTGCAGTGTCACTACTGTGGAAAAGCCTCACGGTCTTGGTGGTGATAAAACCAATCAGCATTTACAGTTCACATAGATGGGCTGGCCTCTCTCAGCGGGCTGCTACATTTTTGTTTTCAGTCTTATGAGCTTTGGAAAGGTTAGCACAGCTACAAAGACAACTGATGATTCTCTAATAAGACTTATCCGTTCAAATGAGCAGCGGGTTTTATGCAGGAGGAAGCCCCAGTTTACATAGTGATCCCTCCAGTGATCATGAGATAGAGGGAGGAGAATACCCTTGGTTGTGACTGTCATTCCTGGGGTTGTGGTAAGGAAAGTTTAATTGCTTTGTTCACTCATGTGGAAAAATATCTCAAAGATGGACTGGCATAAAAATACACAGAGGCAGTAAAAACAAGGCAGGACAAATTTTCTTCATGTATAACTCTTATTAAAGTCAATGATTTTCTACTAGCAATAATTTTTCCCTAGCATATCCTGTAATAATAATAATAATATGATGCATTTATGAAAAGTCGCATTTCAAAAATATGAGCAGCTGAGTAAATAGTGTAGATTCACAGTAGTTCGACTAGCTCCTCATTTACTATACGGTTAACTATAGCAATAACAATTTCTAAAATGTGTGATAGATGAGCATCTGGTGGGTACTTGTTCCTAAAAGCTATATATGTACTTAACTAATATTGACTACTCACAGCATTTGTTTCTTAAATTATTAGATTTTAGCCAGTCTCTCTAAATAATTCCTTAGAAGTGTGTTATCCATCTGTTACCCTAAATACTAATTATATGCATTTTCCCCAGTATCACTTCAACCCTTCCCAGTCAGTCCTTGTCATAGAAGGAGATGATATTGAGAATATAAATCAAGCTCTCCAAAAGGTCTCATATATCAACTCTAGACAGTTCCCTACCGCGGGCGTACGGCTTCTTAAAGTCTCGTCTAAAGTCCAGTAAGTTACATTCAGTTAAACTGATTAGATCAGTTATATTTTTAAATACATTATTTTTTCTTTGGAAATGTAAAAATAGAATTTGATTTAAAATATATGATAAACTATACCTTTACACTATCAAGCATAAGGCATGAGCTGCATTTGCTTTTATACTGAATTACTTTGTGGGTTTCTTATGTTTTGCTTTTATGGTGTCTTTCTTGTAAATGTAATTTAGTTGTGTACCATTTGTGAAGCATTTGGTCTATATTGAAGTGTCTGTGTGTATGTTATATATCAGTAGAAGGTCAGTATTATTCCCATTTGACCAATTGCTTAAGCTTTCTTCTGACATACTTATAGCCATAACTTTTAAATCAGGCCTTTTATAATGACAAGAGGGTACATCTACAGGAACAATGCCTCTCTGCTAGAAATAGCCTTTGCCTATATTGTGATAGGGCCACAATCACTGCAAAATTGTGGCATCTTGGACAAAGTAGAAATTACTGTGTCCTACTATTATCATACAACTATCACAGAATAGCGTAAACAACAATGATAACATTCCTCCATGGTAAAGGAACAGTCTTCCATTCCTTGTACACACAGACTTCAGTTGGAGTTGTTGGTGTCCAGGAAGAGCAGCACTGAGCCCATGATGCATTCCATTTAAGTGGATAGTTAGGTTCTTGATTCACATTTAACAAGACAACTATGTGTGGTAAACCCAGGACAAAGATACAAAAGGGGGTAGTAATTAGTCCCAGGGGATTAAAAGGCCCCTCCCTATCCACTGAGGAGAGATAGCCACTGGGCAATAGGGTTCAGCTGGAAAAGGGGTTGCTAGGGAACCAATTAGCTTCAGCTGACTCCATCTACTTGGGACCTTTTTAAACCCTCTGCTGGGTAGCAGGAGGAGGAGACTGAGGGAGTAGGGAAACTGCTAGTAGGCTGTTTGCAGCAAGACACCAAACCTTCCCAGTAGGGAGGCTGCACTTGCTCCCCAGAAGGGAAGGAAAACAAGCACAAGGGACTGACACAGGAGAGGAGTAGCAGGGCCCTGTGCAACCTATAGGGATTTGTCTTGCCCTAAACTTGAGTCTCCAAGGCTAAAAAGGACTGAGGCAAACAAGGTATTTTGCCACATATGTTATATCAATTTGGTCCTGTCAGGGTTCCCTCCCCACTCTGAACTCTAGGGTACAGATGTGGGGACCTGCATGAAAGACCCCCTAAGCTTATTTCTATTATCTTAGGTTAAAACTTCCCCAAGGCACAAATTCTTTACCCTTGGAGAGTACACTGCCACCACCAAGTGATGATCAGGGAAAGGACCACTTGGAGTTACTATTCCCCAAAGCCCTTACACCCCCTTTCCTGGGGAGGCTTGAGAATAATATCCTAACCAATTGGTTACAAACTGATCACAGATCCAAACGCCTGGGTCTTAAGACAATAGAGAAATCAGTTGGGTTCTTAAAAGAAAGGTAAAAATCACCTCTATAAAATCAGGATGGAAAATAACTTTACAGAGTAACAAAAGATTCAAACACACAGCAGAACTTCCTCTAGGCTTAGTTTCAAAGGTACAAAAACACAGGAATAAACCTCCCTCCAGTAAAGGAAAAATTCACAAGCAAAACAAAAGATAATCTAACATGCCTTGCCTGGCTTTTACTCTCAATTTTTGTAATATGAGAGACTTTTAGGATGGTTTATAGGAGAAGGAGTTTTCTGACCTGATGCTTCTCTGCTTCCCAACAGAACACACACAACAAAGCGTTCTGCGCGTGCCACCCCCCCCGATTTGAAAGTATCTTCTTTCCCCATTGGTCCTCTTGGTCAGGTGCCAACCAGGTTATTTGAGCTTCTTAACCCCTTACAAGTTAGGAGGAATTCTAGGCTACCCTTAGCTGTATGGTTATTATAGGTCCCTTATGTTAAGCTTACAATGATTAGTTATCTAATTAACTTTATTTTTTAACCATTGACTCTTTTGTTAAATGTTAATTAAGTGTCTAAATGTTTCTTGCCTACTGACCTTACTAATGATTGCACTTGCCACTGAAGTGTTAAACTACTCAAAGGTAATTCCAGTAATTGTGAACATTTGTATATAGGCCCACGTGAACTTTGCAACCCAGAACTGTTCGTACCATTGCTAACTTTTACAGATGGCAGAGTACAGAAAGATGTGCATATGTACTGGCGGATCACAGTATGAAATGGACTTATCTGGGGGCAAAGACAGCTTAAATAACATGGAGAAATAAGCACAAAAATTAACTAGTTGGGCATTGGGCAAAAGAAAGCAAAGTCAGAAACATGCACAGAAAGAGTGGGTGAAGTAGCCATGCTTGCTTGCTTTATACTGCATGCCTCTAGCAAGGGAGGAATTTCACCTGACAACTATTCCATACAATTAAAGAAATATATTTTTCAGGTGTTTTGGTGAAGATGTCTGCATTAACATCCCAGATATAGAAGCCTATGTAATGGTGTTTCAGGCCAATGAGCCCAAGATCACAATAAGTGGAATGGACCACTTTGCTAGACCAGCTACGCAATTTGAAAGTGAAAGAGGAGTGACTCTGTTACCAGATATCAGAATTGTCAGCACAGTCACCAAAGTGGAACATTCTGTGGACTTTAAAGAAAATGATGGAGGTTTGTGTATTTGTTTTCCACATTTGCCCCAAGCTGGAGTTAAGGCCTTATTGTACAAGATACAGTACACAGAAATAACACAGACAATCTCTGCTCCAGAGAGCTCACAGTCTTGGATTTAGACTATTTTACTGTGTATTTCAAACAATTTTTGAAACAAACGGGCAGATCCTCAGGCACAAGTTTACAGGCCTACTGTGTGTATGTTCATTAAGTACAGTTTCTCTAAACCATTTAATTTTTTTTTACATTGTGCTTTTGAAGAGCCTACTTCTTATTAGAAGTGCTCAACAGAGTTAACGTGAAATATCCTGACTCTTTCAGTGGTAGGCAAACACTAGGAAATATTAATAAGGCATCACCAAAAATTTCTTTAAAAAAGTCTTCCTTTTGGCTGCTGTTACGAAGTTTAATTAAAAAGCCATTAACCAGCTGTCTTAGGAATCCTCCTCAGCTACATTTCTCAGACCAGAATAATAGGCAACTATTTCTACATCTCTCAGAAAAGCTGAAATTGGTAATGATATATAGGGGCACTGGTTCTCTAAAGCTTCTTTCTGTAACAATCCTAATTATCGGTTGCCTTAAACTATATCTGCCCTCCAAAGGCCAGAAAGTATTCTAGATCGTAGTGAAAAGAAAAGGAGTACTTGTGGCACCTTAGAGACTAACCAATTTATTTGAGCATAAGCTTTTGTGAGCTACAGTCACTGCATGCAATGTAATATGTAAAAGGATACCTGTTCAGAAGAGGTGATCAGTCACTTTGCATGTTAGGGCCTCTGAGATTTCATTCCGATCCCTGTGCATTATGAGTAAAAATGCCTAAGTGCCGGATTTTTAAATGTATTTAGGTGATCAAAGGGATTTTCAAAAGTACTTCAGTGCCTAACTCCCATTGGGAGTTAAGTGCCTAGATGCTTTTGAAAATCCCACTAGGCATGTATTTGCATCTTTAGGCACCAAAATACCATTAAAAATCTAGTCCTAAACAGGACAGATTGATTTAAATCAGGGGTCTCAAACACACGGCCCGCGGAGCTATTTCCTGCAGCCCGCCCCCAGCCTACCTCCAGGCCAGGGGTGGGCAAATTACAGCCTGCAGGCCGGATCCGGCCCACGGGATTGACCTGCGAGCCCCGCACCGCTCCCTGAAGCGGCCAGCACAACATCCCTGTGGCCCAGGGGAGAGGCAGAGGGCTCCGTGCGTTGCCATGGCTGTCAGGCACTGCCCCCGCACACACATCTCCCATTGGCCGGGAACAGGGAGCTTCGGGCTCTCAGAGCCCTGTGCCCTCGCCGCCCCCCCCCCCCCCCGGGGCCACAGGGACATGGTTCCGGCTGCTTCCTGGAGCAGAGCGGCGCAAGGGCCAGGGTAGGCAGGCAGGGAGCCTGCCCTGGCCCCAGTGCGCACTGCTGCCACCCCAGACCCTGCACCCCGAACCCCTCCTGCACCCTAACGGCCCTGAGCGCCCTGCCACACCCCGCACCCCTCCTGCACCCCCTGGGGGCAGGGAGGGGGCGGAGATGGGGTGGGGACTTTGGGGAAGGGGTTGGAATGGGGGCAGGGAAGGGGTGGGAAGAGGTGGGACAGGGGTGGGGCCTCATGGAAGAGGCAGGGTGGGGGGCAGCGAGAGTGGGCTGTCAGTGATGTGGCCCTCGTGGTCATTTGCGTTTGAGACCCCTGATTTAAATCAAAGCAATTTAAATCACCAGTTTTAATTGTAATTTAAATCAACAAGCAGAAAACCTTGTTTTAAGTAATTGATTTTAATTGTGTTTTGCATTTGTACTTTTTAGTTATTTTGCTAAGGGAAGATTGATCCACACTGATGGGTAACCAATAGAATTTTTGATTTGCAACATTAATGAAACATTGTGCTTCATAATAATCAGGAGGATGCACTATATTGATACACATTTATTTGAGTAATATATCTTACATTTTTACTAGATTAGATGCTTCATTTTAACTTGTAATTTCTGTCCATCTGTATATGGATGGAAATTCAAATCCAATTCAATGGTTTTAAAAAATATTGTTCTTATACTATCTTGAATGTGCTAGATAAGTAAGGAAAAAAATTATTTATCGAGACATTTTGCATTTAAAACTGATGTGTTAAACAAATGAAGTATTATCTGTCATTAGTAAATGGATTACCATGTCCTTCAATATTTTAGAACTAGTAGATCTCATTCTCTCCCACTAAATTGCTCTTCATAGATTGGAAGAGGAAAACAAGCTTCCCTGTTTTTTCAGCTTCCAGTGGGTTTCTTAACTTTGAATGAACTAGTCATTGCATGGAACTAGTTGAATAAACTAAAATGAAGAAAATATTCTCTCTGCACATGTAGAAGAGGCTACTGCTGTCAAAAGCTTGTTTAATATTTCAGCAAACTCTGGTTTCAGGTGTTCAGTCAGTGGCTTTGACCAGTTCAGTGGTTTGACTTTCTTTGGAACTTGTGAGCAAACATTTACTGCTTATTATTTTTTGTATTTAATTTAAATTTTAATATATTAAATGTAGGGATTAATATAGGTTGTCAACTTCAAATTTAATTTTTAAATATTTTTAAAATAATCCTGCTTTTAATTTAAATAAAAAAATCAGATTTAATTTTTTAAAAACTCCTCAGTTTTAATGCACCCTGTCCATAAGTGACTCAGGAATCTAGGTCCAATTGATTTAGGTCCCCAAATCACTTAGGCATTTTTGAAAATGTTACCTCATACCATTATCTATTAACAGTAGTAAAAAAAAATGGTTGGATAAAGTATCTGTTAAATTGTTGCAACTCTTATTGGAAAAGATTCTGGTTTTGCAAAAAATATTGAATTATAAGTACCATGTTTTGTGGTTTGAATCATTCTTGCATTTGGACACTTTCATCCATGGATCAAAGAGCAAAGGTAACTGAATTCTTGAAAAAACAACGAGGAGTCCTTGTGGCACCTTAGAGAGTAGCAAATTTATTTGGGCATAAGCTTTCTGCGTTCTAGCCCACAAAAGCTTATGCCCAAATAAATTTGTTAGTCTCTAAGGTGCCACAAGGCCTCCTCGTTGTTTTTGCTGATACAGATTAACATGGCTACCACTATGAAACCTGTGAATTCTTGCTAATTTAAGGAAGTTTTTCACTGATTTTAGAAAAGTTGCCTCACAGACTCTGTAAAGCTAGATCCCCAGCTGCAGCAGAGATACACTTGGCACAGCTGAGGGAGTTGGGGCAAAGGTAACTCTGCTATCTGTCTTTCTGCTCCACCCCCCAGTTCTGCAGCTGACTGGGGGCTGGATGCATCTCAGGCAAAACAGTTAAGGCTGTGCCCAGCAATCCACAGCCCTCATGGGCTATTCCAGCAGCTGAAGATTGCCAGGGAATAGGGTGGTTCTGACTTTAATCCCTTCCTCCTGGGAGTGGCCTCTAAATTGGGACCCTAAGGAGAGTTGACAGTTGCTGTGATTCCAGAGATTTATATTATGCAAAGGTTGTCCGCAGGGAGCCAGTTAAGCCAGTGTTCCAGCCACTTTGTGCCAAGTAGACCAGAGAATTAAAATATTAAATATGCATCTAACTCTCTTCTGAGACAGGATAGATTTTATACTACTCACTGAAGAACAGTCAGTTTACAACTCAATTACTTTGAGCTTGGAAAACGCGTGATCATTTGATATTCCAGTTTATGACTGCTAGTTCTTGGATAGATTAGTATAGCATCCTCTCTAATACAAAATTCTTTATGGGCCATAGAAGAATTGAGAGAATCGTGCAATCACAGAAAGAAAGACTTATGTTCACAGCTCCTTGGCACATGTAGTAATGTACTGAATGAAGTAGTACCAGGCTGATGTCAATACAGTATTGAAAAGCGAAATTGTTAAGCTGTGAAGTTACTTCCAAAATCATGTTTCAATGTTATATTTCTCACATATTCTTGAGTACTTTTTATTATGGTTTGCTATATTTTGGATTCATCTAAGTACTGATATGCCTCCCTCATAGTCACATCTGAGTACTGGAGATTTCTTGCTTTTGACTTGCATGCTATAGTCAATGTTTAATACATGCTTAGAACTATTCAGCAATTCCCTTTGGAAGCTGACAGCACTGTACAAACCATGTTAAAGTATAAATCTGTTTTATGACTGTTTTTTCTCTGATTTTGTTTCTTATTTCTGTATGGTCTATTCCCTGTGTTTACAGTCCATAAGCCAGTTGTGTTAGAGGAAATGGTTCACAACCTGGATTTCTGTGACATTTTGGTCATTGGTGTGGAACTAGATCCCAGACAGGAGTGTTTAGAACTGGATCGTAAGGAGCACCAAGGAAAACATCTAGATGCCACCAACTCCACAGCAGGGTATTCTATCTATGGTATGCTAATGAGTCATTTACATTTTAATTACATTCTTAAAAGGAAAGGGCCAGGTTTTTGCCTTTAAGGTACCACTCTGTGTTAGGGACAGAGCAGACCTGAATCACACTATCCAGAGGAAGCTGAATAAGGGATTGTGCCTCAAAAAAGCACAATTCCACCTCAGCTCCCGGATGAAAGCCTGCTCCACCAGGTAACTGGTTCATCCTGTAGAACTCAGCATGTCCATAGCCCCACCTTTTATACCCCTATGTGGTGAAGTGAACCCCCAGGAGCATATGGGGACACAGAACATATTCTCCCTTTGACAAGCCCTTATGGCATATGTCAGTGAGAGGATTCCTTGGTGCTCTCACACAAGTGCTGATCAGTTCCTGACCCACTGAAGACCACACTGTAATTTTTGAAGTTACTAAATTATTAATGCCACATCTGTATATTTTTTTCTCTAGTATGAAAATAAGGGGTTTTTTTTGTTACAGTTCCTGAAGTCCTAACATTGCTCACTTCACTTGATATGAACTGGAATCTTTGACAAATTCAGATTGTTCTATCCACTTTATTTTATTATTTAGAACATGTGATTTCCCTGTTCAGTACTCTTGTAGTAAACACAAAGGTTTCTACAATGCTTGCCTCTTACGCATCTTTTGGTATTTTTTCATGTTGTGTTACTGATTCAGGTGTGGACACAATGAGAAACTATGAACTGGTGCTTCGACAGGTTCGATATCGCAATTGGCACACTTTCAACATCTTTGATAGAAAGTTCAGGATCAAGTGCTCAGAGCTGAATGGCCGATACACCAGTAATGACTTTAACTTGGAGGTGAGTAATGAAAAGATGCATTGTTACCAAAACTTTCCCTCTGTTATTGATGAACTACATTTCTTCCCTCATCCTTCAGGGCAGGGATTGAGTGTTCCTGTGTTTGTACAGTACCTACCACATTTTGGGTGCTATAATGAAAGAGTAGTAATAACTTATGAGAGGAAAACTTCTACATATGTCATAGGTCACTTTCATTTTGTATGGCATCTCTAGCTGGGAATACTGAATGGATGTTGCTCTGCCTAGCCTACTCAGTGGTATGTAACGACAAGATGAACTCTCACTTGATGCTAATTGTGGCAAATTGCCAGTACAATTATGATGGGTCCCACACTTCCTCTGCTTGGGGAGTGGGGCAGTGGTTCAGGGCAGTTTCCTGCCCCTAAACTAGGGTATCTACTGTCCCACTAGTAACCCAGAGAAGGGTAGTGGAGAGGGAGGGACCCGGGCCCACCCTCTACTCCAGGTCCCAACCCAGGGGCCCTAGGGATAGTGGTAAACCACTTGAACTAGTGCTTCCTTCCCCTGGGCTACTTCCTTCTCCTGCTCTTCAGCTTGTGGGGCTTCCTGCTCCCGCCCCCTCCCTCTCTCCTCTCCCCTCCCCCACAAGCCGGGTGTCTCTTTACCTAGGGTCTTGGTCTTCTAGCCGGCCATGGCACTTCTCCAAACTGCTCTCTGCTCCAACTCCTCCTGGTCTGATTGAAGCAGGGATTTTTTATCATGCGACTGGCTTCAGATGCTTTAATTAGTCTCTTGCAAACTTTCTTCCCTCTACAAGGAATAAGGCTCCCTTTTAGTACTCTCCTGTTGCCCTCTGGCCATGCTGTATCACATAATATACAAAACCACAATCTTCCCATGCATAGTAGAGGTGTAGGTCATCCTTACCTTTTCATAGATATTAAGGTCAGAAGGGACCATTATGATCATCTAGACTGACCTGCACCATGCAGGCCACAGAATCTCACCCACCCACTCCTGCAATAAACTTCTCACCTATGTCTGAGCTTATTGAAGTCCTCAAATCATGGTTTTAAAGACTTCAAGGTGCAGAGAATCCTCCAGCAAGTGACCTGTGACCCATGCTACAGAGGAAGGCGAAAAAACCCCAGGGCCTCTTCCAATCTGCTCTGGAGGAAAATTCCTTCCTGATGCCAAATATGGCGATCAGCTGAACCCTGAGCATATGGGCAAGATTCACCAGCCAGATACCCAGGAAAGAATTCTCTGTAGTAACTCAGATCCACCCCATCTAACATTGGGCCTATTTACCATGAATATTTTTCCATGAACTGCCTCCCACATTCAAGCTCCAACCTATGTCCCAGCTATTATACTGCGGCTTGAAAGCACCATGCTGCAAGCTCATTGCTTTCCAACTTCACGTACGGTTTCTTTTTTGTCAGTGCTGCTTTTTTGTGTGCCACCAAGTGTTACCGACTTGCGGTAAGTGAAATGATGTATTCTTCATCAGTAGAAAATCATTCCAGATTAAGTTGCACCTCCTAAGTCAGTATGAGGATAGGGTTCAATTCAGTTTTTTATAGAGGATCTTCACTTTCATAGTCTAACGCATCAGATGTACTGCATCTTTCAACCTCAGGATCAACACTCTGTTCTACAGCATTTGCTGCTCACACATAGTCACAATTAAATAACTGCATATAAAGCAGAGAGTCCACATATTTTTGTCTCCAGCAAATGAGGCAGAACACTATTGCTTCCTATGCACAGCGATGTGAGATACTGCAGGTGTCTCCACAAATCACAGGCAAGCGAGCTCTGCCTAGTAACCAGCGTGCTGTTCCAGCACGAAAGAGCCCTTTTCATTCTTGTATGCGGCATTACTTCAAAGACCTCACTCAACACCGCTAGCACCTGTTCTAGTTAACAATTTTTTTCTTTAAAGTGAACTGCATGCTGATATAATATGCCAGATTGATATCCCAGGGCTTAAGTTCTCTGTGGAGGCACAAAACAAGCGTGGTGGTGTAAGCCTCCTTACTCTATCCCAGTAATGGGGCTCAAGTCAACCTTTCACAAGTGAGAGGGGCAGTTTTGCTCAGTTTCCATGCTGATGTAATCCTCTTTCGTCTGAACCTGGGTGCCAGTTGTGGTGGTGCTTTTTTACATGGTCTAATCCGGTATTAGAGATTGCTAGAGTCAGGATATAAAACCAGATGCAATTCCGGTCCAATCTGATATGGCAACTTATAACATAGATGGCCACCTGTTCATTAAGAACTGGAATTGGATTAATAGCATTGTAGAAAAGGTTCTGCTTACGTGTATATCCAAGTTTATCTACTACAAATGGAGGCAGTATTCCTTGGAATGAAATTTCACAGAAAAAGTCCAATCCTGCCAACAAAAATATTGCATTTAATAACTATCTGTTTTAATAGAGATAATATGAATTACACTAGCAGTTGCATTGGGCCAGGTCACTCTATTTGATCCTTTTCCCTTCTAAAATGCATATTTTTTGAACCTTTGGATTTTGACTTCATGCACTTTGAAAGATACACCTTTATTTGACAGTTATAGATGTAATTCACAGCTGTTTCAGGGCTGGGTATTTCCATTTTTGTTTTCCCGCATTAGGATCTCAAATTACACCTATAAAATAGGTTAAATAGTCAGTACTATGGGAAAGGTCAATACTTTAAAAAATAATTCACTCCACTTTTGAGCACATATTTTTTCACCTACAAACACTTGCTCCTGCTTTTGCACCCATAAATCTGTTAAATGTAGAAATGGAACAAATTGTGCCTCCAACTGAAATGGATTCAAAATGGCTAGCAAAAATTTCAGCTACAGAGTTGGAGGCTGCATACTAAAACCAGACCTAGAGGCACTACATTCACACAAGTGAGCTGTTCAGCTGGTGACTGATTGTCTGCTCCACAGTCAACCAAACTGAGTGGGGCAACAGCTGCTGGGAGTAATTCCACAAGTGCTGTATACTTGAAATCATTTCTGCTCACCACTTATCTCCCATTTCCTGGGATGACTGTCCCATTCTCTTCCTTATGTCTATGGAATGCGTCCTCTCTATTGGAATTCTGAATGCCTGTTTAGCCTGACAGTGGGTTTCTATGGCAAAATATGCCGCAGGATGCTCCCATATGTTCATCTAATCAATCACATACATGGTTCTCCAGTGTCTCCTTTGTATGGCTGTTGTAATGCCACGAAGAACTTCATTTCTTTCAGCTCATGGCACAATTGGCATAGTTTCCTTTTAATTTTTAAGCTCTTATGAAATCCTGCATTTAGAAAATGTGGCGAATTCGGACTGCTGCTGTGCTTATATTCTGTTGTGGTTTTTTTCTCTTTTATCAAGTCTGGCTGAGTTTACAGCTTCACCTCTTCTCAAAAGCTTTGCAAGTGCTTTTCTCAGACACTGAACTGCTTCAACACTTCTCTTTAAGCATTTCTATGCCACTCCCTGCTCTCAGTTAAGAACAGCAGCAGCTCTTGACTGTTGCACCCTCTGGCAAAGGAGAATGGGTAACAGCTAGCTAACTGATTTGCTATTGGTAGGTTGGGGGAAGCCGTTGGAAGTTAGAACAAGGATTATACCTGCCCTTCTTATTCATGTTGTATGCCTACTTTTTTTAAATAGAATTTGGGGGAACTACTGGATCCCCAGCTGCTACTAAACAGCCATATAGAATCATAGAATCATAGAATATCAGGGTTGGAAGGGACCTCAGGAGGTCATCTAGTCCAACCCCCTGCTCAAAAGCAGGACCAATCCCCAACTAAATCATCCCAGCCAGGGCTTTGTCAGGCCTGACCTTAAAAACTTCTAAGGAAGGAGATTCCACCACCTCCCTAGGCAACGCATTCCAGTGTTTCACCACCCTCCTAGTGAAAAAGTTTTCCTTAATATCCAACCTAAACCTCCCCCACTGCAACTTGAGACCATTACTCCTTGTCCTGTCCTCTTCCACCACTGAGAATAGTCTAGAACCATCCTCTCTGGAACCACCTCTCAGGTAGTTGAAAGCAGCTATCAAATCCCCCCTCATTCTTCTCTTCTGCAGACTAAACAATCCCAGTTCCCTCAGCCTCTCCTCATAAGTCATGTGTTCCAGACCCCTAATCATTTTTGTTGCCCTTCGCTGGACTCTCTCCAATTTATCCACATCCTTCTTGTAGTGTGGGGCCCAAAACTGGACACAGTACTCCAGATGAGGCCTCACCAATGTCGAATAGAGGGGGACAATCACGTCCCTCGATCTGCTCGCTATGCCCCTACTTATACATCCCAAAATGCCATTGGCCTTCTTGGCAACAAGGGCACACAGCTGACTCATATCCAGCTTCTCGTCCACTGTCACCCCTAGGTCCTTTTCTGCAGAACTGCTGCCTAGCCATTCGGTCCCTAGTCTGTAGCTGTGCATTGGGTTCTTCCGTCCTAAGTGCAGGACCCTGCACTTATCCTTATTGAACCTCATCAGATTTCTTTTGGCCCAATCCTCCAATTTGTCTAGGTCCCTCTGTATCCTATCCCTGCCCTCCAGCGTATCTACCACTCCTCCCAAAACATTTAACATATAACATGTCTAGGAAGGTCAGTTTTCAACTTAGTCAGGAGAATGTGGCCTTATTGGTGGGAGGCAGACTTTGTGGTGGTTATCCATGGCCACATCACCTCAAAATTAGATTACTGCAATACAGTCAGCATTGGAGCTACACCTTCAACCAAATTGGAGACAAAGCTAGCGGACAGGATAATTCTGTGCTATGATTTGCAATAGATATCTCTTCCTTTCTGAAAGGAAATTAAAGTATTGGCATTGATCTTGAATGGTATGAGGACTGCCTACGTGACACACTGCCTTTCTTCCTGCACAACAGAGCTAAAGTTGGTCAGTGGAGATTAAAGAGCTGGAGCCCACTCGGTATACATGAAAGGGAACTACCCGCATGCTATTTTTCACAAGGGGCCTTAAATTGCAACTAACACCCACCCTTCATCTGAAATAGCCCATATTTGTTTCCCTGTAGGTCACTCTACAAGACATATTTATTCACGTAGGCTTTTGAGGGGAGGGAGGAATGCAATCAGGACTGGTGTTTGTGGTCAGAGGTGTCCTATTATAATGTGGTTACTGCATCAGTTTCCCTTTCCTAGCTGTGCCTCAATTTCTCTCTAAGCAGGTACAATGATTAAATTAAGTCCTCCAGCTAACTCAGAAAGATTCCATATCTCCTGGGGTAACTGAAGTCCCAAACTGGAGTTCAAATTAAAAATCAACACAAAAGCTCCATGCAGTCCCATTACTGGGTCATGAGCCTTTCTGTCCATCTTTCCATTCTCTGGAATGTAATAGCACTTCATCCAGCCTCTCCTTTTGAGCCACAGGCCTTCTTTGAGGGTCTACCATTCTTCCCTTCTCATGTTGCAGGGAACTGAAGCCAGGGAGTGCTCTCACTGTCTGGAAGCTCCAGTGGTGGGTCCCAAATCAATAAGTTATCAATCAGTTGGTGCCCCATTCCCTGTATGTTCCCTTTGCCCACAGCTTTTTCTTTCACTCTGGTAATCCCTTGATTTTTCCAGATGGGACTTGGCTATTTCTAATAGCACCCCTCCTTGTGTGTACTTCACAACCCTTGGGTACCATCCTCTACTTCTGTCCACCCCAAGGCTCTTTACAAAAGTCACAGAACTTCCATCTCCCTTGGGTTCTTTACACTTTTTTATCCACCCACCTCTTCTAGATTGCTTCCATAGCTCCTTCTAAATTGCTAGCTTCACCAGCTTCTGCTGAATCTCCCCAGCATGCCTGCCACCTTCCCTTCCTCACTCCACATCTCTATTTCTCACACTGAGTGAGGAAAGGCTGCCTCTTATATTCTGTCCAATTTACAATTCCCAGAATCCATCTGGGTGCTTCCTCTCCCAGAATTCTCTTTTTCTGGGGATAAAAGTAGAAGTATGTTGTGTTGAGCCTGTAGTTTTCCTTAAAGGGTGAGTGCACCCTGTTGCAGAGTGACTTTTTTGGCATTGATATCATTTTATATCCAGTTTGCACTGGTGTAAATGACTGGACATACTGCAAAGTAATAGAGGTCCAAGCCCAGAGATCCTATAATTAGGCCCTTAAAAATAAAATAGTAAATTAAAATTTTTAAAAATGCATGCATGAGCTATGAAAAAAACAAATTCCTGTCACCTCTGCTCTGCCTTTTGCTTTCCTTTCTCAGCTTTCCTCCTGGCCTATTATTGGTATTTATATAGACTATGAGAAAAGAAGGGGTTAGAGTTGTGTTGTGCTATGAATTACATTCCTTCCTTCCTTCCTTTGAAGGAACCTTTAGAGAAGTAAGTTCTGTGAGGAAACAAATAGAATTTTTCATGTACATGTGCTGTCATGTGAGAAATCTTTGTCCTTTCTAAAACCTGGGGACTTATTACAAAGGATGCTATTTGCCACGGGTAAATGAAACATATAATCAATATTTGAATATATTGCTCATCTTACTCAGTGTTTTGAAAATTGTTAACTTGGGCTCAGATCTCATTTTCGGGCAAGGAGGAAGAACACAAGCATAGTGCACACCTGCTACATTGCATAGTCAGGACTGCCATGAATACTTACTTTTGTGAAACATTTTCTTGAGCACCATGTTGATGATTCTTTGGGTTTTCATCTGGACATTTTTCAAATGCCGTTGCACTGTGCAAATTGACATTAAATCTGTCATTGGAGAGTTCTGTGTTGGGGTTTCAATGATTTTCAGAACAGTTTGTCTTGGTTTACAAGAAAAAAGGTTGAGTTTAGTTGCTGGTCCTATAAATGTAATCTGGGTTCTGAAAATCCAGCTTTGTTCCTTCTGGCTCATTGATCATCTCCATAAAGATTTTCTAGGCCAGATTCTCTAGAGTTTCTTGTGTGCCTAACTCCATTACCTTTAGTGTTGTGGCACAGGTGTAAACGAAGACTGAATTTGACCATGCCTTTGCAACTTAATTAACAATTACGTTAATGCATGAGCCAAAATAGAATTCAGCCCACTCTCCCACAGCTGGCATGGCTCTATATTGCTACCAGAAGCAAGAGTAATAAAATGTATCAGTCACTAATGTCAGCAGATATACATACAGGGAGCAGACTGAATAACTGGGTGACTCCCCACACTGCAAGACTCCCAACTTGCCATAGCGTTCCCCATAGAAGCAGAATAGAAAAGAGCTCAGTGAGCCCCAAAGAAACATTCCACATTTGTTACTTAACCTGGAGTAGAACAGAGATAGCATCACATTCAAACAAGAGGCTGTGCTTGCACTTAGAGTAGGACAGAGAACAGAATGCCCTCAAGACAGTTCTCTAGAATACTTTAGAAAATTCCATCAAATTAATAAGGGCTCTACAAATGCCCAAACCTGCTCCAGTTAAATACAATGATAAAACTCTTATTGACTCCAATAGTGCATCTAACTTATGATAGAAAGATGAAAAAAGAGAGCTGGTTCACACAGGTGAGAGAGAGAGAGCTTCTTTATTCTCTGAGTCTGTTCAAGAGCTACCAATAACAAAGTGGCCCAGCTAAACCATAAAATAACGCAGGATAGGTTAACTGACTTGGGAGACATTTGATCTTGTCTCCAGTGCCTACAAAATGAACATGAATCTTCTACTAAGATCAATATACTATAATCTTTGCTGTGAAGTTCATCATCAGACCAGTTTCAGACACCAGAAGGCATGGTATTGGAATTTACAGCACTTTGTAGTATCATGCTGCTTGTTCTTTTGTTCCAGGTCAATATCCTACACAACTCGAACTCTAATTTTATGGAGCATGTAAATCACATGGTAATACAGCCACCGTTTCTCCAGTCTATCCATCACCCAGAAGAAAACATAAACAGCATTCCTGGCTCAGGTATTAACTATACAGAGATTGCTCATAATACTTAAGGTGTTGTCAGTGTTTCTGTTGTGATTCAGTTCAGTCAACCAATGAAGACATAGAATCCCCACTTATACCCTGGGCAACCCAAAAGAAGTCATTGCATAGGTGTAAAAGAAAGTAACATTTGTCCCCCTCTGTCTTCCTGAGGAGTTGTGCTTTAGTTAAAAAATACACTATTGGAAATTGTGTGGCCAGGTTTTTTTGGTTTTTTTTTAAATAGAGACCAGAAAGTTGAAAAATTTAAAACTGGCAAATGGCAGAATTCCAGACACCAGTGATTTTCACAAATGAAGTTAATTCTCTAATTGTAATCCTGGGAATATTTGTCCCTTAGCACAGTAGTTCTCAAAGCCGGTCCGCCACTTGTTCAGGGAAAGCCCCTGGTGGGCCGAACAGGTTTGTTTACCTGCCACATCCGCAGGTTCGGTCGATCGCAGCTCTCACTAGCCATGGTTCGCCGCTCCAAGCCAATGGGGGCTGTGGGAAGCGGCGCGGGCCAAGGGACGTGCTGGCTGCCCTTAGCAGAAAGGGACAATATGGATGAAGGACAGTTTAACCTTCTGGCAGCAACAGACAACTGTCTAACATTGAGTTGTTCTGCATTGTTCTTACCATTTGTGATCACTGAATGTAATTATTGGAAATATTACCAGTGATGTGCAGATTGCAGAATCTCAGCATAAGAAAAGAAAAAAACAGAAGGAAAGAATGTTTTTAGTGGTGTTTAGGCAAATCTGTAGAGAAATTATTCCATTATTTTTTTCAGTTGTTCCAAGCGTGGCTACTATTGTTATAATAATCTGTGTCAGCATACTAGTCTTCATCATAGCCTTGGGCATCTACAGAATTCGGACTTCTCATCAGCCCAGCTCTACAGAAAATGAAGGAAGTAAAGAAAATGAAATGGATTGGGATGATTCTGCTCTAACCATTACTGTCAACCCCATGGAGGTATGCGAAAAAGTTGGATTGCCATGGCACTTCCAGGAGTTAGCATTTTGGGTGGTAGCTTGTTTAGTTACTGTTTTTTAAAAACACTTTAAAGATGGATTTATTTAGATTGCTACTTTGTTTGTGTGATCACTCTTCAGGGCAGGGTCTGTCTCTTACTATGTGTATGTACAGCATCTAGCACAATTGGTCCCCGATCTAAGGTGAGGCCTGTAGGCATGGCTATAATACAGATGGTGATGATTATGCTTCTGATTATTTATTATTTTATTTGTTCTCCTACGTCTGATTGTTGTTTGATGGGATCGTGAAGAATTGGCTTAAGGGGGAGAGGAGCATTGCCCTCTCACTTCCTGCCCAGCATAGACTCTTGCAATTTGAAGCACCCACAACAATGCAATTTGTCCATTTTAAAATGTGCTGGTACCAAATATTGACAAACTGAAGGCAAGGGGAAGTCCAGGGCAGAGGTTCAGAAAACAGCAACAAAATTGAACACCTGTCTAGAGAAACTGACACATGAGCAAAAGTTAAGAGCTAACTATGGGTAGCTTTGCTAAACAAGGACAATCATTTACAAATATTCCATTTTTGTTACAATAGCTTCAAGCTTTAGAATTTACTTGCTACTTTATTCTACTCTATCTATATATATCTCTAGTAACCAGGTAGCCACGTAAATCACGCTTTCCCAATATATTAGCAATTAATTTCTGAAGCAAGCCATTATATAGCTACATTATGTATTTTCATGGGTGTTACAGGAGGTATTAAACTATTGGTTCAATTGCTTTATGTTCCCCTAGCTAGATTAATGAACAAGTCCCTTTCCTTCTGCGTTTTCTAACATAATGTAGAAATATGAAGAGCCTCACCATGTAGAAGAGGAGAGTGAGGAGGAGGAGGTAGAAGAGGAGGAAGATACAACCAGTGATGAATCAGGTGAAAGTGAAGAAGAGGAGGAGGAAGAAGAAATTGGAAATGCGGGAGACAAACAGAATGCCACCAGGCAAGAGCAGTTGGAGTGGGATGATTCAACACTCCCTTACTAGAACCTGCCAGTCCTATTGCTCCTTTTGTAAACAGCAATACAATTTATTTCTGAGTCAAGTTAATTTCTGTCTATGAATTAACTGACAGGATTTGAATTTATTGCCTAAAATAGATATAGTTCTATTGCCCAAATTGATATCGTTGTATCAGTTGCTATTGATAGAATTGTCCCTTTCCTTACAATGCCTTGTGAAATACAGGGTACCAACTTTAATGTCCTCTATGGTAATGACACTAGTCTGGAGCTTGGTCTGTCAATTTAGTCCCTCAATTTCCAGTTTCTGTTCCAAATAATCCAATAAAAGTCCTGTCACTCAATCCATAGAGGTTTGCCTTTGCTATTTTTTCATATAGGAGAGATTTCAGCTTGTTATGATGATTATTTCTGTGGATCCAAATAATGCTGTTGCCATTTGGCTTCACTTTCTTGTGTCTAAAAAAAATCTGCCTTCAGATTGACCTGGTATTGAAGTGTCTCCAGGAGTGGGGTGGGGGGGGGGGGAAGCAGAGGTTTAGTGCTACAGGTGTCAAGGCTGAATGCCATTTACCACCTCCCCCCCCTTTTTTTTTTTTTTTGGCCTTCTTGGATGTTAGTTGCATTCTGCAGAGGGATATTTAAGACTTCACATGTAGGGTGTATGTGAGAATAGGAATGGGTAATACATTTATCTGCTAATGTGTCATGACCTTGAAGATAATCTTTAACCAGTCCACCTATTGAAATCTGACTACTATCATGTAAAACCACCAGAAATTTTTTTTTTCTTTTGTTAAGTCTCAGAGATCTTCTGCCCACAGATTAAGCAATGTTTTCTTATGTGAAACATAAATTCTAATTCAACTTGGCTTCGGCTGAAACCTGTGGGGCTGATCATTAGCCATGGATTCAGTAATTTGCTGCAAATCAGTGTTTTGTAATCTGCATTGTAAATCATTATCTTGATGCAGTATCTTACTGCAGTAACAGGAAATCAGTGAACCCCAGTATACTCAAGTTGCCTCTGGTTGGGACTTAGACAGGTACTTACATGTATGCATGAAAATGAAATACAGTCTTGGGGAAATGTTCCCTTCTGCCTGTAGAAAGACTGATTAAATGATGCCAGCTGGAATTTGTCTGGCTTTATTCTGTAAAATATCGTCCCACATTTTTGCTATGCTTTTAGCAACCAAACAGTGGCACAGGAAAAAACTGACATCACCTAGACTCTCCAGCTCTCCTTTGCATTTATAACTGTCCTTTTTCTCCTCTTCCTGAACCCTTTATTCTTTGAGAAAAGGGGTCTGTAAAATAAAATAGGAACAAGGAAAGAGAATCCACCTGGAACCAAAAGAAGTAAAAGTACAATGAGAGCTTGAGCAAGTATTAGTTTAATGCAGCATGTTTTTTCCTAAACACTGTTCAAAGAAAAAAATACACAAAATATGCTGGTAAGTCTGTTTCTGTTTTTTTTTTCCTCCTCCCTTTAATATCCTCTGCATCTTCAAAATGACATGAACAACAAATGAGGCAGCACTTCCTAGGGTAACTCTTTTAATGTATAACAGACAAACCAACTGGCATGACCATGAATGCTGCCCTCTGGCTTTTCACCTGTTTCCAACCCTCTTCTTTCCTTTAGATTTTGTTTGTTGGATTTGGCTTTGTAATTTGCTGTTTGGAGTGAGCCATTCCTCCTATCTTTTCTGTGTGCCCCCAAGAAGCTCAGTAGCAGTACAGTGTTGAGCGTAACAGAACAAAAAATACATGTGTCAATCTTTTTTCTTTGCTAGGGTGCCATGGCTCCATGCACAGTCATGGCACTTAATCCTGCAGGGGGCAACCCTTACTCACTCTGGGTTCATATGGATAACTTCCAGGGTTGCCAGCTCTCTTGCTACTTGGTATATTTCTTAAAGCCTCAGCTCTTACAGTAATGTGAATACAGAAAATCTCAGCTTTCATTTTTTTAAAATCAAGTTTCTAGCTCTTATGGGTGCAAAAAAAGGTTGAAAATGAGACCCGAGTGGGCCCTACAAGCTTAAAAAATTGGAAGGTAAATGAAGACAGTCCCAAATTTATTCCTTTTTTTAAAAAAAAATCATGGTTTTTAGACTGACCTCACGATTTTGGGGAACCTGACTCATGATTTTTGAATGCTTGGTGTTGGCAATATGGAACTTTTCTCATGCGTTACAGTCCCATTTACTTGAGGGTGTAAGAACAGCAGGATTGGTCCCCTAATTTATTTTTATACTCACTAATTATTTTGAATAGCAAGATATTTCTTTAGGCCACTTACTGTTTTGTATTTTAGATGGTGTATGTACAAACAACTCATTATTAAAGTGTGTATATATATTGTGTTTTCTTCCTTCCAGAGTATGATGTAAGGAAATCTGGTGAAAAGGCATAATTCTTTTTTTTTTTTTTTTTAATAATAATAATATGAAGCAGGCCTTTCATTTGTGGTTTTATTTTCAGCACACAACTAAACAAAGCTTTCTGCTCAGACAGAAAGTAAAAATTAGAGATTTAAAAATCAATCTCGAAATTAAAATTGTATTGAAAAATTCAACTTTTGTCAAATGATTTTCACCATTTTTTTTAAAACAGCAACTTACAACATTATTAATGGTCTAATTATTTTATAACTTATTCATGGCTTGATAAATATATGAACATTCATTAAATATTTACATTTTGGTTATTGGATGCAAATCTATTCAGATCATGCTGGTACATTACAGAAGGAGGAAACATGAATAATTTTATATTTGTAAATGTCTAATTTGTAGAAGTAAGATGAGTAAAAGCAGAGCCTCTGTTATTGGTTTTACAAGATTGTAGTCTATACACTAAAATGTTCTTATTTTAGGTTAATCATCTGAGCAGGTTATGAAGCATTTTTCATTCAAATAATCAGGAAGGTCATTTTTACAAAATTTCAGTGAGAACTGGATATTCCTTTATAAAATGTACACACATATGAAACATCACTACAGTTTTCTGTAGCAATGGCCCAAAACACTGGAACACTGTCATTTTACAATCTATTTCTGAAGGAATTGTTTTTCATTATTTCATTTTTTTTCCAAACATTTCTACAATTTTTTCAGGTTCTTTTAATGAATAAAAACCAAACACATTTGGTTTTCAAAAAGCATTTTTAGTAAAAATATTTCACTTTTGCTGAAACCAAAACTAGATGTTTTTTTTTCCTAAAGGTAAAAAATCTTTATGAAAGCCAGAACATTTTTACTGAATTGTTTTGTTTTTTTTCAATTGCCATTTTTTCCACCCAAAATGGGGGGGGAGAATCACTTTGCTTGAAAAAGTATTTGTCAAAAATATGCTTACATTAAAAACTTTCAACCAGTTCTACAACACACTACAATTTACATGACTGTACTGGTTGAATAATGAAAAATACTATGTAATATTTCTAATAGGGGGGTCTCTGTTTCACTTCCTTAGAGATTTCAAAGTGTATTTCCCTTGACCCTCAATCTTATCACTTTGATCATATGGCTAGACTAGAGACTATATTTCATTCAAGGCCAGATTGTACCCAGCCCTGAACAGGTTCATGACAAGGGAGGAGAATGTATACAAGGAGCATCCATGTATCTCCTATTAGAAAACAGGTAAACTGCAGTCTTTACACTCAAGAAGCTATGTGGTGCCCACTCCCCACCCCCTGCTGTAGGAACTGTTGTACAACCTCTTAAAAGGGCAGTATAATATCCTTACTCTTTTGCACTCCCCTGAATAATCTAGCTGCCTGAGGCATATCCCCTTGCTCCAAATACAGATCTGGATCATCAAGCCCCATAAAAGTCCTCATTTTCCAGTAGCAAGTGTTAAAATGGACCCAGTCTTGTAACCCTTACTCAGCCAAACTCACACTGATGTCATTAAGATGAGAGCTTTACCTTATTAAAAGCAGCAGGATTAGGCCCCAAAAGTCCCTGAAAAACCGCAAAAGCAAGACCTCCTCATATGGCATCTGGCTGTTGTGGAGATGGGGTGTTAAAAATGCCCCAAGATAGATACCTACGTTTTCTCTTCTGACATTTGGAGGATAGAGGCAGCTTGGAAAAAGCTGCAAAATTTACTAATGCCAATTCAGTCCAGTTGCACAATGTGTTATCTGCACTAATATTGCTGCTTACGTTGCTTTTCATGGTCAATAGCTCAGATTTCTTTTTCACTTCCACCCATACCACACGTATGATATCTATACAAATGATTCTAAAGACATATGGCTGCTGAGATCAATATCAAGATGTACTGCACCAGCTGACACCAGTTCAAATAAGGGTTCATTAAATCTTCGTATTAACTCAAATAAAATGTTAGTGTTTGTTCTGAATATTCATTTATTCAAATATGATGATATCTGGGAAATATACCATAAATCACAAAAATTAAAAACATCTAGAAAGCATTTGATTGTTTATAGAGAGGAGAAATACAGGTCTTGATGATCTATAAGCCAGTAGAAATCCCATCTTCCCTACTACAATACATAATTGATTAGATTAAGCATATCTGTGCCAGTTGTATGTTTATTGAAAATGACAATATAAACCTTGTAGCACAATTTAATTTTCATGTACCCAATTTGTAGGAATCTAGCTTGAGGGAAAGAAACAGAGTGCTGTAAATCTTGATGTCTAACACATGATTAACATCTTAGTTTCTCCAACTGTAATTGTTTCACCTTTATGGGTCATGTTTTTCCTCTGTTTTCTGTATAGTGGTTTTCCACTCCCCTTCCAAAACAAGCCAATAATGGCAGAAGCAACAACAAGAGAATTAAACTTTGGATAGGAAATAAAGGTGTCATAGTGTGTACTTTACCACTTTAAATATAGTTAGGTATTTGTCCTCTGCCAGTTATACAGCAGGTGAAATCCTGGTGATTTCTCATTTTAGCTTTCTCAGCGGAGGCATTTCATAGTTGGATATTTGCAACTGATAAGTAAACCACTATGACTCATGTAAGCCTTTTGTTATTGGAGTTTTTGGAATTATAGTACTCACTCTGTCTGTTACTAATGGTGTCAGATTCATATGCATTTTAAAACATATTGAACCATCTCTCTGATGGTTCAGTTCTTACTGCTGTGCAGTGTAGGAGATTCAGGCTGATAACAAGCTTTGGGATTGATGGCCAGTCGGTGTAACTGTTGATTATTCCCTAGTATATGTTTGAAGGCTCTGTAGTTCTACTACACCCCACCCCAGAAAGGAGCAGTGGAGGTGAGTCCTCTAGGCCTGCCTGGAGAGCCTCATGGAAGCAGCCAATCAGATCTCAGCAGGCTCAGATAAA